GTTCAGTTTTCTGGTCCTTCATCCTGGGTACAACCTCGGTCATAACACTCTCAAACCATCGTTCCTCTCTGTCCAGGATGTGCACATCTTCATCCCTGAAAGAGTGACCGCTGGCCTGGAGATGAGTGTAAACCGCAGAATCCTGGCCTGATGATGTTTATCTTCTGTGCTGGGCCATCCTTTTGGCCAGTGGCTGTTTAGTTTCCCCGATGTAAGGCTGATCACCCTCCTGACACTGAACAGCATACACAATATTACTCTGTTTGTGCCGGGGGACTGGATCTTTGGGATGAACCAGTCTTTGCCATAATGTATTTTGGGGTTTAAAAGCCACTGGGACGTTATGTTTAGAAAATAAATGTCTCAGTTTCTCTGATACTCCCTCATCATACGGAATGACCACTGGTCTGGGTCTGGGTTCCTCCTTTTCACCTGATGGCTGACTGGGGTCCTGTTTGGGTTTCTTCTCTGCTTTCAGGAAGTCCCAGTTATGATATCCACATTGCTCTAGAGCCTGTCTTGTGTAGGATTTCTCCTTCTGCCTGGCTCCTGAGTTAGTGGGGATGCTGTCTGCTCTGTGGTACAGAGTACTGATGACTCCTAACTTGTGCTCCAAAGGGTGATGGGAGTCAAACTGCAAATACTGGTCTGTGTGGGTGGGTTTGCGGTACACCTCGGCAAACTAGGAGTCTTAGTCTGGCTTTCAATCGGCAGTCAATGCTTTGTACAAAAGTCACAAAATATCTTCTCATTTAAGCTCAATTTGTTGTTTTTTTCTGGCATAGTTTAGTACTAAAACAAGTATTGATACACAAGTACAATAAAAATCTTGTACAGCTTCTTACTCAGCTTTTGCATAACTTTCACATCCCTAGTTCTGCTGCAACCATTATTTGAAAAGAATACCAAATCTTGTCCATTGTTACCTGGAAATTATCTTGTAAAAGGTCAAAGTAGCCACATAAGAATGTTGGGAGCAATTTGAGACACTTCGAATCCTTTCCAACATTTTTCAGTCAGGTCATCTGGACAGGGAAAAATGGAGCGTGAGATCGATAGGCGGATAGGTGCAGCGTCTGCAGTGAAGCAGGCTCTATACAGGTCTGTCGTGGTGAAGAGAGAGCTGAGTCAAAAGGCGAAGCTCTCAATTTACCGATCGATCTACGTTCCTACCCTCATCTATGGTCACGAGCTTTGGGTTGTGACCGAAAGAATGAGATCTCGTATACAAGCGGCCGAAATGAGTTTTTTCCGCAGGGTGTCTGGGCTCTCCCTTAGAGACAGGGTGAGAAGCTCAATCATCCGGGAGGGACTCGGAGTAGAGCCGCTGCTTCTCCACGTCGAGAGGAGCCAGTTGAGGTGGCTCGAGCATCTATTTAGGATGCCTTCTGGACGCCTCCCTGGTGAGGTGTTCCAGACACGTCCCACCGGAAGGAGGCCCAGAGGAAGACCCAGGACACGCTGGAGGGACTATGTTTCTCGGCTGGCCTGGGAACGCCTCGGGATTCCCCCTGAAGAGCTGGCCCAAGTGGCTGGGGAGAGGGAAGTCTGGGCCTCCCTACTTAGGCTGCTACCCCCGCGACTTGACCCCGGATAAGCGGAAGAAAATGGATGGATGGATGGTCATCTGGACAGTTTCTTTTTTTGTGCTGAAATGTTTCACCTTGGATCCGGAAGGCTTCATCAGTCAAGGAAACATACAACACAATCGGATCCATTGATTGCTTGCTGTTCTGAGGTTTGGGCTGCCTCACAGAGGAAACTGAGCCACTAAATTATGGTACCAACTGACCCTGTGCTATCCTGGCTCCATCACTGCCTGTTCTCAAAGTATCTTTATGTTCGCTGGGTTTTATTTTTGAATAACAGGTGAATAATTTCAGTCATTTTAGCATTTTCTTGCTGTAATGAATGATTTTGTTTTAAGCATTTTCCTTTAACTGTGATGCTATTCTGGTAATCTCTTTTCTATATTATGTACAACACTTTGGCCACTAGTGAGAGATTTTTACAAAATTTGACTTAAGCCAATATTGTGCTTATTTTTCAGCTTCAAAACAATCAGATTTTGTTGTGTTTTCATAGTACAGTGAGCCTGTTTCATAATTTTTTGGTCTGTATAAATTTGTAAATTTCTCAATCATCCAATTTCACAATAAAATGTGCATGAATTAGTTGGTTTCCTATCTGTGTGCTCTAATTTACTTTTACTATAATAAAAAATAGATACATCACTTGCAGATTTACCAGGTGGTACTGTAAGCGTAATATAATGCCGATGCTCTCATTCACAGGCAAAGGCTGTACCACTGAGAATTAGATTAAAATCTTCCATCATCATTACTGCTAAGTAGATGTTTATGTAGACAAACAGCCTCTGTGTTACATCAGCATCTGTACAAACTCCCAAGTCACAGTTTGATCCCTTAATTATCAGATTACCCAATGCAATTGGACAATATGTTTCCCCCAGAGATTGGGCCTTGCCTTATCACAGAAATTCTTTCTGCCCTGCACAATTTGCTGGGATAAATGTAATGGTATCAGTGCTCCAGTGTGAGCCTGGGTGGTCTCTGTTGCATTTCTAATGATGCTGCGCCTTTCCCAGAACAAGTGGAAATACCTCAGTGATGCACCGTGAAAAGAGAGACGAGGAAAGAGCACAGCTCCCACTGGGCTCTGAACTTCTCACACGACGGACATCCAACTCTTCAAAAAAAGGCATGCCAGTTAGTCCCTGCATAAATGCTGAGTTATTCGTTAGCTTTAAGGTTCGTGAAAACAAATCCTACTATCAGTTAAACTTGTTTTAAATGGCAAATTAAAAAAAAAAAAAAATCAGCATGAACATGTTTATTTTTTAAAGTAATTACATATTATTATTCAAGATACATAAAACATGCTAAAACTGTAAATGCTCATGTTCTGAGTTAATAATTTTCAATATTTTGACCCAAAATTAGCCTAAATGTTTTGCATCTTATGCAAATGGACTACTTGAATAGCGCTTTTCTATCTTATCAAGATACTCAACGTGCTTCACACAGTCTGTGCCCTCATTTGCTCTTTCATACAGCACTCTGTACAAAGATGAATCAGTGCTTTATCACATTCATGCATCGACGGGACACACATCAGAGGAAATGAGGGGTTCGGTGTATTGCGACGCTTTGGCATGTGACTGCTGGTGGAATCGAACCCCCAGCTCTTGCACTGGAGGATGACTGCTCTGATCATTCAGCCACTGCTTCCCCCCAAAATCAGTTACTTTTTTTTTTATAAATGGTAACACAAAAAGTATTTTGTGTAATTTAAAAATATAATATTTATTGCTCTTTTTAAATTACTCAATTTGCTACAAATAAATAAAAAAAAAGTCCAACTCTTTGATTGCACAAAATATATATATTTTTTCAGTTTTATTTTGAAAGGAATTACCGCCGGAAATAGTAACAAGGCACCGGAAGTAATCGCTGCAGGGAAGCGTTTATAAGCTGTGAGTTTCTCATTTTTTTTAAAGATATTTAATATTTGCTGCGTATAAAGTTCGGATGGTTCACAAGGTAAAAAAAAAATCCTGTTTGTTGGATTGTAAGAACTCAAATGATAATTATTGTTTAAGCGCCGCTTGTTACAGCGAACTGGATGGCTAGCGGATGTTAGCTTAGGCTAAAGTTAGCCGTCAAACGTCAACAAAGCGATAGTTGTTCTTTTTTATTTTTGGTCTGTTTAATCGCTTACCTGTTGGTGTCTTCTGGCAGTCAGTGTGAACAGAATGTAAACAATCAAAACAAATAGCATCACAAAAGAAACATATGCGACCGGTGTAGTGTTCTTTTGCTCTAGCTTTCCACAACACAGTCAGCTGGTCCAAACTCGGCTAACATTTATCCCGATTTACGTTTTTTGTCGTAATTTTTATGTCTGTGAACAAATTTTTAACTTCTCAAAAGCTACCAGCGATTTGCGTTATATTCGGCAGCGTATTTTTTTCATTTAATGCCTTTATTTGTCTTATTTACTTGTCTCTAAAAACAGTACTGTTTCTGATCTGATGCTTTAAGCATCACCTGAAATCGTTACTCATCAACCATTTCATGTTCGGTGTATCTGTTAATTCACACATTTATATTGAGAATTATATATTTATAATGTAATACTACTAAAAATAATATATCTTGAAAATGTGTTCTCGTGACTCAATGAGACTACCTGTATAAATAAAGGGTAAATTTAAAACAAATGCATAAGGATGGTATTCCCTACACAAAAGTCACGTTATTATAACACCCTCGTTTTTTCCCGTTTAGCATTCCTAAAATATTTGTAATGTGCTGATCCTGAAATATTTACCTCATTCAGTAAGTTTTGGCTGGCTTGCTTTAAAATTGATATTACTGAGCTGTCTCTAGTTAACATTTTGGTATGTCTCCCAGTAGCTGGTTTTATATATTCTGCTCATTATTTGGCATTTTTCTTTATAACCTTTTTCTATCAGCAGAGTTGTGATAACCATCTGTTGTTAAGGTAAACTGAAATAAAGGAAATGAGCTCTGCTGATTTTATTTTAATTTACCACAAATTAAGCAACATTTTGATCTCCTTGAAGTTTCAGTGCTTCATAATTTTTGGAATGACATTATTAAAATAATATTAAAAATGCTTGCCCATGACCATGAGAGCAATTTTAGTGTAAGTCTTGAAGTAATCAATGCATATTTTTATATCAGAGATCACAGAAACATTGCTCATGTCATGTTTGCAAGCCCCTCATTGAGTTTTTACTTTATCTCTCACTTTGACCTCATTAAGTGGCGTGTTTTAGACTCGATACTAATTTAGGCTTCTGTAATCTTTTTATGTACTTAAGTCAATCATCGTTGTAGTGAAGTCACTTTAAATTGTTTGTTCTAGGGAGAACAGCTCTTCAGCCCGTGTGGTGGGCGGATGAGAAAGTGAATGATTGACAAGTTAACAGCAAACTGGCACCATGTTCAAGAAACATGTTTTCCGTGATTTGTGTTTCATACCCCTGCTAGCAAGGCCGCACTTGAGATGTGTGTGTCACTTTCTCCTTCACTTCACCCGTCATCACTGCTCAGTGAGAGGAAGGTGGGGAGGGGGAACCATGGGGGCAAAGCTACACTGATCCATTTCCTGTCCCCTCCTGGGGCTCTAATTGAAAAATTTGGGTGGCCCTGCTTGTTTATTTTGGTGGAATGTGGTGGGTTGTGTTTTTGGAGGCTTTTCCTCAGTGACGCTGCTCCACAGACCTCTGGGTGAATCGAGTGATGGGGGTCACTCGATTCACCCCCACCCCTGTCTGCTCTCTATGCAGTATGCTCCACCTGGTAGCCTCCACCCTGTTGCTGATCTTGGTCTCCACGCCATAGTTTCTGTGACCCAGTCAGACCTGGATAAAACAGACAGGGCTGAAGGAAGGGAACTAAAAAACCTTTAGAGACAAGTTCACAACTAAAATGTTCTTATCTGCAGATTTTTTTATTTTAATTTTTAATTTTTTTTGCTGGCCTTGTTTTCCAATTATCTTCTCTTTGCCTTTATTTTCAGTACTTTCAGTTGTGTTGGATGAATCTTTAAAGATTTTCAAACGTGAGCTGACAAGAACTAAAACTTTTTAAATGAAATGTTTCAGATTCAAGCAGTTTATTTAACAAATACTCATGAACCTTAATCTGTGTTGACCCAGTCAACACTTCTCCAGGTAGTTTTAAAAGTTGATGCGTTCTGCTGCACTCAACCCAACGTTTTGATGACAAAAATGCATATTATTCGTTGAAAACTAATTTGCTGGTGGTTTAGTGTTCACTGGAGACGAGAAGTTTTTCAGAAATAATCTAATAGCCTATATTGTGCTCTCAAAACAACAAACATGGAGCTGTTTCTACTGGTTTTGTTTTCTGGTCTGTCTTGCTTTATCCTGATCCTTCTCATTGTTGAACATTAATCGTGTGCTGAAACCTTAATACCAGAGTGAAAATTGTTAAAATATGGGTATTTATATCCAATACATTGAAATAAATCCAGTGTTAACCCAATTTAATTTAATACCGTTGAATTAATTTTAAATGACTGCCGTATCAGTTGCTGCTAAAGTATTGAAATTTGGCATCATATTGTTTGAAAAGTTGGAAAACTCCAGATTTTATTGTAACCAACAGTGATTTTAAAACTTAATATTCTTGTGGGACTCGGGCTGTTTCTCACGCTTGTGTTTTTTGTGTGAAGCACTTCAGGCAGCAGTGTTATAACCTGGACCATGAAGGTTCAGATTGCTCCATTTCACCGTGTCACTGGGCAGAGACGCCTGTCTCCAGCCTCCTAATCCTCTGAAAACATTTTCCTGCCGTTGCAGGCGTATTCTTCATATTTCTGTTTATTGGTGCAAGGTTTTTATATGGGAAAACTGGGACCTCGCTTCATTAAGCATTCGAGACTGACAAACAAACAAGCAGATATCCCCAAACATAACAGAGCCTGTGGGCAGATATGAGGATGGCCGGACAGTGAGCCAGAGGCGCTCATCTTGTGATGGACCACAGAGGTGAAGGACATGCTGAGTCATTGTAGAAATGTTCAAACCCAGCCTGCACACTCAACGTTAATGCGTTCCATTTGATTGTTAGCGCACGTTATGGTTCATTTCTGTCTTTTAGGCACATTACTGTCTCCACATCTAAGAGCTATGGAGTGGTCTGGGTGTAAGTGAACACTGAGGGGAACTGTTTAAAGCTCCACCCAGCCTGTGTGATCGGGCCGGTCCTCGGGTCATGTTTGGCCGGCTCTGTGCATTCAGAGGAGTCGGACGGCTCTTTGATGGAATCTGGTGTTTGTGTAATGTTTAGGAGCATGAAGCAAAAGAACATTTTAGTATTTGTGTGTGTGTGTGTGTGTGTGGTGCTCTGAGGGGAATGGATTGAGGATGATGAGCAAGTTAAATGGGTCCCTTTGTGCCCCCTTGAACCCATCACACACTCACACTCATTTATGCCAATCATTGCCATATGTGAGTCACCTTTTACCTCTGAGGTCTAAGTGATCCACAGTATGAAGGCCTTATTCATGACAACATGAGACCGTGTGTGCATGCCTGTGTGTGTGTGTGTGTGTGTGTGTACAGTATATTACACAGTGTAGATGTATAGGATGGTGTCGATGGGTTGTGTTTGAGTGAAGTGAAATATGGAAACAATGTTCTGATTTGATAAGAGAAGCACAGGATAGTTGGTTCTTTTCTCTTTTAAGTTAATGCTGCAATAAATGCACATTTTGTTCTTTGTTTAAAAGAACATAAACATGCAGGTATAGATTATAATGATAAATATATTGTATATTTTCTGTACAACTTCACTAAGCTGCAGCACTTTTTTATTTTTCATACCTGAAACTTTAAAATCTAGGGCTCCAGCTTACTGGACAGAGTGATTTTATTAATGCAGTCCAAAAAGCTTTACTGGCTATCACTTTGCCTCCACAAACTTTTTTTAATTTTCAAAAAGTACAGTATTTATTCTTGTTCAAATGCGTACACAATGTCACAAAATGTTGTAGTTCAACAATATCTCTTGGCTAGGAAATGCAGCTGTTCTCCTCATGCATTTATTTAATGTTTATTTGAATAAAGACCCAAAGAAGATAGGTTTAAATGCAAATAGTAACCATATAAATCCAATTTTCAGTGCTTCCTCATATATATACTTTACAGAACTGAAGGTACATGTATTACCTTCTACTAATTCAGGACAAGCTACAGCTTAAAAACCAAGTTTTTACTCTGTATCCTGCTTCCTGTCTTTTTGGGTTCAGCAAGTTTCATCTTTTTTATTTAGGACTTATTGTTCTCAATTTTAGATCTTCCACACGAGACATTTCACTTAATAAACATCAATCTCTAAATAAAATAAAATTAAAGGTAATAAAGTGTAAAAGTGTGAGCATGAATGAATGAATTCTCTGGTTCTGGTCTCCTACTGAGCTGCGGGTCCAGCTTTACTTTGGACACCTTGCGGTATTACTGCGTTACTAAAATTGTGACGATATACGAGTTTAAACGTGTTTGTCTTTTCCTCTCTAAACTGAATGTTTAGTTTTTAGATTTCCAATTTCCTCTGCAGTTGTCAAAGCATTTAGTTTTGGTGCCAGTTTTGTTTATAGAAGCAAAACTAACATCTTCTATTTTACCGTCCTGCTTTTGGGAAGCGACTTAACTCGTATTTTGTTTTTTATTTGATTTTGTGTTGATTTAGTCGTCAATAATTCACCGAGTCATTTCAGTTGTGTAAAATGTCAGATTGATGTGTAATAAAATTGGAAAAGTTGTTTTGGTTCAAACATTTTCTTATTAACATCATTAATATATTTGTTACCTAGGACTTCAAGGAGACCTGTAATCTTTTTCTAGTCAGGAATCAATAAAAACTTGAAAATATTTTTAATTTTGGTTTGATGCACGTCACCCTCTCAAATAAAGAGCAAAAAAAAAAAAAAAAAATCTGTTTAATTTTGTGAGTTCAAAATCCTAAACCAAGGTTCACTGATCCCAGTATTGATCCCAGTAGTGGTCAAAGTAAACTGTAATCTGAAAGTTGCAGCTCTGCAGGTCATCTGTTGTCCCAGGCATTTTAAAGAAACTTGTTTTCTGTAGCCTAGATATGTGACAAATATATATTTTTTAAAAAGCAGTACTCTGCTTTTTTTTTTTTTTTACTTTAGCTGAGAGCCACAGTAGGGTGGTCACTCGTTAAGAGTTCCTCTGCCATTATACAATTAGAGCCAACCATGCTGTTTGGTAGTCGGCATCCAAGGAAAACAAACTTTCCTTTTTACATTACCAGAGAGGAAAAGGCTCGGAGGTTCACAGCATCATGACTTGGAGATGATCAGAAAGAAAAAAGAAGCTCAATCTGGTTCTGGAGCGTCAGTGATTATATTTAGTCCACATCAAAAAGATTCATATTGGAAGAAAGTGGTCGATCATCCTAAGGGGATCTTCTAATGCCCCCTAGAGGCTCATTATTTTATTACTGTTTAGAAACACTTCAAATGTTTCCTGTTTCAGAGAGAAAAGGCCTCTCTCGTCGGGCCTCTGCTTGAATTAACCTATATTCTGTTTTACTGTGTTTGCAGGGTGTTTGTGGTGATGCATGACACAAGACTTGTGCAGGGGTCCCCTTACTTTCTGTGGGACTCGGTGCATCACGTGTGTGCGTGCGTGCGTGCTGGATGTTAAAGAGAGAGTCTGGGCAG